AGTGGGGGAGATGGGATTTATTTATATACATCCATCCCATGGCTGTGTTGTGGTTTGGTGTGGCTCGAGGAATCAATAATCTTCTACATATGATAATCTTCTACATATGATAATCATATGATGTGGGATTAGGTCATATAGAGAGAGAGAGAGATTAAAGTTTTCTCTCTCTAATTAATTTCAGTGTTTAGGTACCTAATTAAGCTGTGCCCTCCTTAATTAATGGTTGATTAATGAATGGGTTTCGACCCAAAAAGAAAAAAAGAAATATAGAAGAAAACAAAAGTTGGGTGCGATAGGACTTTGGGATAGGTTCCAAAGTCCCATCGTAGCTAGGTAGGCCATTTCTTTTAAGGGCATCGAGACCTTCAAATTACATTACCATATCTGAAAATATTTCTGCTTTCTATCAAATTATGCGTATGATATATATGGTGTGCAAAAATTTTGCAAACTTTTTTTCAAGTCAAATCTTGGACTGGACTATCTCCCATTCCCTTCCTTCAGAAAGATCATTGCCCATTGTTTCTCTCTCATGCATAATAGTGATGTAGAAAGAGAGAGAGGTTTGTTCTGAGACTTTTGACCATGTACCTCCACTTTTTGACCTACTCAACAGAACCCATAAAAGAGAATAACTTAACCAAACAAACACTGGCCATTACTAGACAAAATTAGGTACATTTCACCCTGAAATTAGTAGATAAGACATCAACTACCTTTCTCGACCATGAAGCTTCAATACCTTGTTAAGAGTTAAAAGAATACGTTAAAAAGATAAGAGACCTAACAAAAATTTATAATATAATATAATTACTTATTATCAATTGATTTTAARATGAAACTCTATACAAATTGATATGGTATCAGAGTCCAAAAACCTCGAACGAACATCCAAACCAAGATCTCACATTGAAAAGATAAAAATACATGATAAGAGTTTATAATATAAGTAGGCTATTCCTCTCATTACCAATTGATCTTGAGATKGATCTMTTAAAGATGGTACGATATTGCATAACTTTGTTTTTGGGTGACCTCCTCTATATAAAATTGATTATTCTCTTGTCTAACCAASGTGAGATTTTATTTGCACATCTTCGCAACCTCAGCACACCCACCCTGCAATTTTTGAACTTAGAAAAACTATGATGTGTGAAACTTACCTACAAAGGCATTAATATTARAGGATACCAATAGGTMTCTTAATTATTAAAACTATAGAATTTTTAGACAATCATCTCGTTTTTGTCTACGAATAGATCTTCCTGTTAATCATAACTAAAAATTCAAGCATCCTCACTCCTCATTCTCTGCATTTCTCAATTCTATTTGTGAACAGATGAGCCACTAAATAAGTATTATTCTGTGTTGTGAGCCACTACTTCAATTTGCTTACCAATAACAACTGGAGATGTGATGTGAAAAGGAAAGCATTATTATTTAGAAGGTTGACGACACTGTTCTAGGATTACATCCAAGGGTTGAGCAGCCCATTTGCCAAGAAGGGTGTTGAGTTAAAATTGGTAAAAAWGAGAAGACATATTAATATATAGTCAGAGACAGAGAGAGAGAGGGGTTACGTATATGGTGGGGTGGTGTTGTGGTTAAGGAGCTGTCAATTCTGAAGTTTGTTGTGTAGTGTTGGAAGTGGAATTTGGACATTATATTTATAAAATGTTTGCTCATAGGCCGACACTTAGATGCGCCCATGGCTCACCCAAATCCCAAATATTAAGCATTTTGTCTCCCTCTCTCAAAGTCTCAACCTTTCAGTTTTCAGTTTCACGCCCATATCTTCTTCATCATCTTCTTCTTCTTCTTCTTCTTCTTCTTCTTCTTCTGATTCTGATGAAATGACCTTTCATGGTCCGGCCTTTCATGACAGATGAACTGCATGCCAATTTTCAAAACCACTACTTTTTTCTCTCCCCTCATTTAATTCTACAGTGTTTCTTTCTTATCTTATCCTCTGCATGCGTTTCACTTTACTACAAAAACTTCCAAATGAAAACAAAAATTTCCCTCTTCTCTTCTTTCTACTCTGTTTCAAAATGTTATCTGATAAGGCCTTTTTTCACGTCAGTAACGCAGCATTTCTGTTGTTTTTGCCTTTAATGGTCAGTGACCCAAGTGGGGTACGTGGCCGGTCTGCCATTCAAAATCATTACAATACCCAACTTCCTACCGGTTAAATCACAAGTTTGGTCCCTATAATTTCAGCGGAGTTTCAATTTAGTCCTCGTAGTATGATTTTATTTAGCGTATTGAAAATATCCCATGATGTGTCAATATGACAACAACATAGACTATTTAATGAGATCTATGTACTAAACCATARCAACCAAATTGAAACGGCATCAGGGCCATAAAAGTTACCAAATTTGTAAGTAATGAAATTGGAGGTTTTTGGGTTGGATGTGGAAGGGTCACTGTGGTACTTTCACTTGGAAACTGTTTTGCATGGAGCCAAAAAAATATTATAATGTGGAAGGTAATTAAAGTAAAAGGAGACGACARAAGAACTGAAATGGGAAAAAAACAGAGGAGGGTCCCATATGAAACTCACTCCCATCACTTTGCAAAATTACAAAAAAATGCTCACTCACTAGCCGCCATGTTATCCACCATCTTCTTCCCATCTTATCTTCCCCCTTCAAAGTTCAAACAAAAGAGGCMTAATTATTTTTTAATGGGTGGGTGCCAAATTACAAATACTCTTAACTTTTAACCTAACCTCATTCTCTATCATTTTTTTTTCTTTTTTATATTTAGTATCTCTCCTATGCTTTTTGTTACTTTCATAATCATAGGAAGGATTATTATAATTATATATGAAAAAAAAATAACACCTTTTCATAGGGTTGAAAAATAAAATCCGTGTGCGCTATCGAAATTGAGAAATCATGTGGGTTTAAGTTCAAAAGAGTGGAAATAGACAATATGTGTAATATATGGAACAATTGAAAGAGATTGAAAARGATCTTATTAGTAAATTGAGAGTTAAAATAATGGCATAAATGTGTGAGCCAAAAATGAGTAATTAAATAATTTTTTAAACTCCCACTCATGACTCACTCACCCTTGTTGGTTTCAGTCACAATAGATTTATATAATAATTTGATGAAAACTCACATATTACCAACTGAAGGGTCCCTTTTAAAATGTTCAAAGAAAGAAACCAAATCCAAATCCTGGCATTTATCCAATTTAAAAAATAGTAACTTTATTTTTTCTAAATTATTGTTATACTACCTTTCATCACAAGTTCTTCATATTATATAATGAAAAGGAAAGGAAAGAATGATGGAGGATGAAAATGACAAATCATCCCACCTCACTAGTTACCATCTCTATCTTGGAGTGTCATATTCACTATACAAAAAGCAACGTGTATTGGGTTTACAATGATTTTGTCGTAGCTACCCTCCAAACTCTCCTACACCATTTCCTCTCCCAAACCCAAAATGAAATATGTCAATATTATTATTATTATTATTATTATTATTATTATTATTATTATTATTATTATTATTATAAGATTCGAAGTTTATAGAGATGCAAGGTGTAAACACAAGAGAAAGAGAAGAAGAGAAAATGGTCCCCAAAGGAAAGGGAAAAGGAGGTCCCAAATATCGGATTAAATGCCAAATGTTTCAAAAGGAAGGTGAGTTTGGGATTCCCATGTCTTAACTTTGTCTCCAAATTATTTATATTTTTATATATATTAATGTTTACACACTACACTACTGTTCAATCCACTCGCATACAGCACGTGTAATCACCACAATCTCATAACATCAACATATCTTTTCCAAATGGGCCCGATAGAAGATGAAAGATGTGAGATTTAATTTGGTTCAAGTACACGCACTGTGGAGGGCGTGGGGCTGTGCTGTTGAAAATGAAACGTCAAAAACATAAGGAAGTTTGCTYCCAGACACATTGAGAGAGAAAGAAAGAGAGGCCCAAATTAAAAGGCTAAAATGTAGTTATGTGCTATCCCATGATGCTTTTCGATGTCACTCTCAAGCATGCACATTTTGTCCCCCCCATCTATTTCTTTATATATCTATATGTATCCTCTCTTTCTTTTTTTTTTTTACTCGTAATAGTGTAGCGATCTCGACGGGTGAAATCAAGTTGATGGGTTTTTTTTAACCTAGAGAACGAGATTTTGATTGGATGGTTGTGACGGTTAACTAACGTTTTGCTTTGGATTCTTTTGCTGCTAGAAGAAGATGCAAGTTCATATCAGCTCAATTTGTTTATAAAGTTGTTTAAATTAGATATGATATGATATGTAATGCTACTGCATTATCTATCCTACCTAACTGTGATGGTCAACAATTTGGTTTGATAAATGTCAATTGATTCAATATGTACAATGTTGTCTTTTTGACAAGTCAAATCAATTTGATGCTCTTTTTTCTTTTTGTTTCAACAAATGGATGTATTCACACTGCCAGCACTAAGATTGAAAATATATATAATATATATTTGATGGAAATCTAGTTTGTTTTTTGTACYAAAAATTATTTGAGAAGGATATTGTCACGGCTCCTAATTGTGCAGTAGGTGTTAGATTTATTTTTCTCATTTGATTATTGAAACTTTATCGCGTTAATAATAAATTTCATGTTACACGTGTCCATAATAAACCATCAACCACCTCGAATACAATGAACTATCACATGGATGTAACACAAGTTTCTTTGGCGTAGGATTTAAGATGGGGCTTCAGATTAGAACCCGGCCCAAGCCCGAGCCCAATTGAGATCATTGATCCAATTTCTTAAAAACAGAGACAATAGATTCGTTAAATATGATAATAGTATCGTCGAATAAATACGAACAGAAACCATTGATTTGGGTTGAAATAAATTAAAAAAAAATTATCAATAGAACTAGTTCTTGATTCTGCGAGGAAAAAAACGTTTTCAAGGTACTAATTWTTTGAAGTATATTATAAGAATAAACAAACCAAACCAAGCACCAAATTCAATCATGTGATTGGATCACAATCTTACAATCCAACAACCCAGTTGGTCCAAAATTTCATTCAACCCATTCAGAACACCCGTGTCCATAGAAGAGTACTTGAGAGAGGAATAATCTTTGATAATGAAGGTGTTAATGACAGAAAATGATCAGCCATTCAAATGCTTAAGAAAATAATGCTTTAAAAATGAACCTGACAGAAAAAATTACTTCACAATTAGCCAAATATTTGGGGGGGAATAAAGGGAAATAACTTGGGTTTACAGCACACAAGGGGGTGGCGCAATTCCTCGAGTGGACCAAATGAAAGTTCTTAAACATAACAGAGGATGGCCAAAAATACAGAGACCAGAAGATTAGAGAGAAGAGGTACACAGTAGTTGTCAGCTCCCACCTGGAAATTCGATATTTTTACTGGGTGCGAGTTCTGCTGCTTTCTGCATTCCTAATGGGAAAAAAGTATGGATGTGCCTGCATTACCATCAACAACACGCTGTTCATTAAAATATTGAAATGGTGCACGCTTATATCTCAGTACATAATATTGTTATKATGTAATGTCTATCCAGAACTTCTATGATGGGAATCGAATCAATATACATTCTAATAAGATATGATGTAATGACAGATGAATCTTACTAAAGAAACTTTGATGCCATTAGTTATACTGAATTTGAATGGTATAGAATCATGTTCGAGCAAAAGCTATGTAAGTCGATAAAGAGAGCAATTTTAAGAACTTGGGGGGTAAAATGGGAGTGGCAGGATCTTCCAACTCTCGAATGCATCCTTTGATGGGGTGCAGAACTTGTCAAAAGAATGGGATGGAAATGTCATGTTCATTGTTCGTTCCCCCAACCAAACGGCCACCAAAGGAATGTTAATAGTTTAATTGTGTGGTGTTATTCCCCCTCGCCATAATGAAGAAAATTGGTTCTCCAATCAAAATATATCTCAACCCAATACCATTACCAACAAACAAATGGAACGTCACAATAAAATATCCACATTATGTATTCAAACCCAATAGGGGGAGGGGGAGGGGAGGGGAATTGCATGAGCGTAGATTGGTGCAAGAAAGAAAAGAAAGAATAAAATGCTTTAGTGCAGTGAACTTTACCATTGCCTCTTTGGCAGTTAGCCTTTCTTGATGATCATAGCGTAACAATTTATCAACGAAGTCAACAGCCTTCAACGTAAAATAAATATGGTCATAAATATGAACCTCAAACAAACAAATAAATATGGTCATAAAAATGCTCAGTTACAAAACATGACAATTCTTTTTTTGTCTTTTACCTCGGGGACTGCCAGATGCTGATTCTCAACATTAATGAACTTGGCCCAAGGTTTCCGGCTATGCCTTTATCAAATTTATTAAAAAAGAAAGTAAGCAATAAGGAAAGAACTCAGTTGAAGTGGCTGATAACCAGCACAAAATAAAAATTGAACGCGTTAAGTCCTTGAACAAACCTCCCAACAAGAGCCGAGAGATGCGGGTCCAATTCTATTCGATACCTAGTCAGGTATGTGTTCAATTCATCTGTCCCCAACACCTGTCACAGCAGAAGACCATAAACATCAAGTTAGATCTAGAGCTCTCAAGGATAATACATTCACCCGTTCTCAAAAAACTAAAACCAGATGAATGACACCCATTTCTTTGAACTTCTCGACATACAGTGTGAACTCTTTTAAATTAACTTGCCTTTCAGCACAAATTCAAAAAAATATGAGGCGCTTCTCACACATAAAAACTTGGCAAGTACACATACGTAGGATAAAAACCTTGACACAAATTCTACTAGCTGCAAGAATAAAACAAAATATAAAACTTGAATTAAAGAATATTCTATACCTTAGCTATTTTAACCAGCTGATCATAATTATCATGTCCATAGAAGAATGGCTCCTTTCGGAAAATCTGAAAGCACAAATTACAAATTATAAGCACCAAGCAATTCTAAACAAGTGGAATCTTTCTTTAGAAAAGAAAGATAAACAGGAGGAATATAGAACAATCAAGTCATCTTCCATCTTAGGATTAACAGTAAGGCAGAATAATATCCTTCTCTGCAGAGCATCGTAAGAAAATACTATATACTAGATAGAGAATTTCTGTTTTATTTTTCTTTCCCTTTCTGGATTATAAAATAAAAATCAATAGGCAACAAGCAAGCACAAGAATCGTGAAAATATGTCCAAATTCAAACAAGACAACATTACAATACAACTTTGTTGAGGGCACCAGAAAATGCAAAGCATGCCACTTCAGAATTAACCAATACAACTATATGCGAACTGTGAAGGCCCCATTAACGTACTAAGTCCAGTTGTCCACTTGCTTACATGATAAAATATAATCCTACGTATAACTCAGATAAATAATAATATCTTAGAATTTCTATTAAAAAAATTTAACAATTCTCATCAAACCAGAAAATTGTAATATTAGAAATTGTAGGTATCAATCAATTACTCACCATTCCTGCAAACATGCAACCAAGACTCCACAAGTCCAAAGAGTAATCATAATCTTGCAAATCAACAAGAAGTTCTGGACCTTTAAAATATCTGCAAATACTCAACAAAATAATGAAAGGAACATATTGATCCAAAATCATTCAAAACAAACCTCAAGTGCCACTAAATAAATCATAATATATTAATTTAAATGCGAAACAGATTCACAAAGAGAATAAACAACCAACCTCGAAGCAACACGAACATTATACTCTTTCCCAGGATGATAAAACTCAGCAAGGCCCCAATCTATAAGACGAAGTTTACGTTGCTCGTGATCAATCATCACATTATGAGGTTTGACATCTCGATGCATAATTCCTTGTGAGTGGCAATAATCCAATGCCTATACAAAGTTTCAAACAACATGATGCACCAAGAGTCAGCAAAATCAAATGAAAACTATGGGGTCGAGGGTTGATGATTAATTAAGTAACTGCAAAACAAGCAACGAGTCAGCATACAGAAAGATGTTTACTTATCATAACAATAAAAAGGATCAGAAACAATATGCTTGCCTTTAGAAGTTCATATATGTAATAGCGAATATCAAAGTCTGAAAGTGTTGGGTAAAGAACTTTAAAATCAATATTGTTCACATGCTCAAATATAAGACTAGGGGTCTTCGATTGCTGGTCTCGAACAATATCAAGCAACTTCACAATATTTATCCCTCCACAAAGATTCTGCAGTATTTTTATCTCCCTCTTAATCTGCATTGAGTACACAAGCAGAATATGACATCTTAAGGAAACAATAATTCCTAATAAATAAATAAATAAATATTTAAAAAACAGGTCTTTGCAAATTCTGAAGGACTTCAAAGAATGCTCAAAAGATGCTAGACAAAACATTCAACTTGATAATTAGCTGCAGATAACTTTAAAGGATTTGACTTCAACCATAAAAATATAATAAATAAAAAAACCATTATGCATGTGTGAGCACATACATGTGAGTCTGGTAATCTGACTATTGGAGGCCCAAGAATATTCCATAAGAAAAGAAGCAAATTCTTCAATTTTACAAAATTTCCATTAACAGGAATGATGAATACTAGCACCACTTTGTACGATATAAATCATCCTAAACTATGCCTAATCACGTAAATTATCTTTCCCATGAAGTGATCATTCTCAATTGATAATTCATTAGTTTGGACGCACGGTTTCATCCAGATACTAAAAAAATAACTAATGCTGTTGTTTAAAGACATAATAAATGACAGTTAACACTTAACAGTACAGACTACATAAAAATTCATGAAAAAATTCATATGCTTACTCTTACAATCAGAGTGAGTCCCTTGAACAGAATACTTTTATTTCTACATCTTCGTACCACTATATTGGATTTTATTAAACAAAATGATCTGTTCAAATGTCCTTTGCTTAATTTTTACAGGTTTACGTATCTTTTTCATTTGTTTTTTAGTTTAAATGCAAGCACATGAAGGTTTACTTTACAAAAAATTATCAATTTACTTTTTCCTCGATTTCTTTACTAAACTAAACATGACCTCACGTGTCCATTGAGTATCTCAAACATGTTCAATGAAAAAATTGGACAGTTTAAATTTGTATTACAGAACATGAAGCCCAACTAAAAACTCAAAATAGTGACCAAGCTTCATAGATAACAACCAAGACAAAACCAAATGCACATTTGGGAAGCAAGAAGCAACCAATA